AAATGCTTCCCCTAATTTTCCTTTCCCAGCTGCAGGTGTCAGTACTGACCTCAGCTATAGAGCTACAGTCCTTCCCTGTCCTGTTTCACCTTTCAGTCATTCAGACATAGTGTATGTGGCCAGGTCTGTGCTAAAAAGGACTCCCTGAGCACTGGGAAGAGGAGAATGTCCTGTGAGCAATCAGTAAGGGGAACATGCCTGACTTTATAGGTGTCACTCCTCCTCCCCTTTCCCAGTTCTGTCACACCAGGCAGTAGTTCAAACCCCATGAAACACTGGAGCAATAGGAGCTACTCTTAGAACCAAGAAACTACAGTATGACTAGTTTTACGAGCAGAAGTGAAAATATTAGTGATTGCATATAAAGGCAGTAATGCATGTGAATATTGAAAACCATACTAGTAGCTCAAGTTTTTGAGCTGTCCGTGCTTACCTCAGCAGGAGAATTGATAATGGAGACCTGCAACCCATACTGGAAACCTCCACCAATGCCCAGGACAAAAGCCAGGAGGAAGAGATTGTAGCTCATTTTCTGATAGGAAATAAAATCAGCAAATGAAGCTGGGACAGCTGTCCAGGTATGCTCCCAACAGTCCTGTTTCACCTCCAGAAGCTCTAACAACTTGAGCAATGCCACGCATCTGCCTCCTATGAGACTGAGGAGTCACTGCAGGGTGCGGCAGAAGACCACAGCCACTAGAGCACAGAGCAGTGAGAAAACTGAGAAGAGGCAAAGCTCATAGCTCTCTCCCAGAACCCAGTTACACACTTCAGTGCTTCTGTCTTCAGCTTTGGCCATCTTAATCTGCATTATCATAGGGTAACCAGCTGCATGATTCCTGTTTATTTGTCCTTCCTCCTCATTTCCCACTTGTTACTTCACCTAAATGAGTATTTTGCTTGGTGACTTGGCTGAGACTAGATAAACATTTGGGGGTTGAGGGGCATGAACAATGACTGCCAAACATTTGCAAGCTGATTTCTAATCAAATGAATGCTGTTGCTTGAATGGCATCCAATTTATTCATGTTGCAACATTATTGGCTTCAAAGGAATCAGCTCAAAATAAATTTGGCGCATTTGTATATTAAATGACAACAATTTTCTGTTTGTGAAGCACTAGGAAGAAATGAGATTCACTGTCTCTACTACTAGACATCCTTACTATCCTTCATGCTACAAAAAATGCCACACATCAGCACAAAACCCCTCATCAACAAGAAAAACAGTAAGTCCTATTCTAAGTGCAAATTTTGTATTGCACCTGCAAATCTCTTAGTGTCATTCACATTCTGTACTATAACACTACTGCTTGATTTTTCTGTTGCTTCTCTTTGGTGGCTTTTCCAGTTTAATAGATTTTAAATTCATTAAGATTTTTTTAACTTAATGTTTATCCTAAAATCGCTTTTTTAAAACTTTTTTTTTTATCTTTTCTGGGTATCTGTTCCTGTACTTCCTTGACTAAGAAGGTATCTTTCAGATCTGTTGTTATTGATATCTCTTTCATTGTGGAGGACTTTTTCAGTCTTGTGTCTATCAAACTATGTTTTTTGTTGCTGTGCTCTGAAGTCCCTTGGTTTGTTTCCCCCTGGTATGTATCAGACATTAAATATAAATGTGCTCTTAAATCCAGTTTTCTTTTCTTTCACTAAAGAATTTCTTACAAAATATTTGCTATCTTTCAGATATGACCTCATACTACTATTTTAACCACACCTGATTCAAATTTATTTTTCTTTCTGTACTTATTAGAATAGTGGAAAGGAAAAAAATGTACTGCAAAAATTCTATTTGGGTAAACAAAAAGATAAAGGGATACCAATTGGCATGCAAAGGTAGTCATCTCCACTTGCAGACTAGGTCTTTCCTGATGCTTTCTTTGGTTACTCTGGAAAAGTCACTCTCTATATAAAGAGAAGCCTGAGATAACATTTAATCTGTCACTTCATTCTTTCTCAGTGTTTACACTCCTTTTGGTTTGTGATGAAGTTCTTGCTATTTGCTTTGTCATTATTGTGTCAGTTACTGATGAAACTGGATCATTTTGGCAAGCTGTGCATTCATGCCAGGTCACTAGGGACGAAAAACTCCAGCAGCAGCTGACACACAGTAAGAACTGCAGGAGATGAGGAAAGGACAATAAAAAAAGGCAGTGATGGAAGCCAAAGTCCAGGAACTGGTGCAGACTAGAGTGAACTGGCTTGGAGTCCCCAAGTGATACGTTGGGTAATCAGTTATACCATTTAAAGGCAAAGTTCCTGACTTCTATCTTGAGCCTCAATACAGCAAAGCCTTCTGAAGCGTGATTTAAGCCTGACTAAGCCTCTGCATTCAACTCTTGAATTATGGGATCAGCTGACACTGTAAGAGTAACGGTCATGGCCTGAAAGTTCAAATCGATGTCCCTCTAACGTATGGTAGATGCTAGAAAAGTTGAATGGCAGTTTTAAATCCTGACTATAAAATAAATAAATTACATTACTTTTATCCATAATCCTCAAAGGGCCTCTTTATCTAGCAGTCTCCAAGATGATTCTGTTAAAAGGCTTTTACAAGTTATTCAACCAGCTTGGGGGCAGATTCCTTCTCCTGGTGAGTGGCTGTGTTTGGTGGTTCCCCAGACTAGGATGCTGCATGTCTTCAGTGTCTGGAAAAATCCCAGCTCCAACTGAGCTGGAAGTGAGAGGTGGTGTGTGTAGAGGAGCATTGTTTGAGAACAGCAGCAGTAACCTTTTTCCTCTGGTGCTGGTGGTTATCGATCAATCCAGCAGTGCACAGTGATTTTATTTGTAAATAATGGTATGGACTATGACTCTCTGAGGATCACTTTTCAAGATGTACTTTTGCCTAATACTTGCCATGATAAGAAAATTGACCTGAACAAATGTCACGTATTTTTTCAGTTGAAGGTGTTTTAATTCAGTAACAGTTAACAAACGTGTTAAATGCTTTGATTAAAATATAACCAGTTAGGCCAATTAAAATGTAACCACTGTTTGTCTTTGCTTAGGCAGTCTAAAGACACCTGATTTTAGGCTGTAGTCAGAAAAAATGCTGGAAGTTGGAATTAGTGTTTTCTGACCCATGTACTCATAGGACAAGATCTGAAACTCAGGGAGTCAAGTAAAGGTGTGTAATTTCCAAACAGGCATGGTTCATACTGCCCGGGTACAGCCAGCCTCCATCCCTCCCAGGCTCTGGGGAAAGGCACAGCAATACTGACTCATGGGAGTAGCCACAACAGTGGCCAAAGTGACATTGGAGGACTTCTCCTGACCTGTATGTCCCAGCTGTGTGTGCCTGGCCTCTCCCTCTGCCCAGACAGTCTCTGCAGTCCATCCCCTGCTTCTCACCCTGCATCTCCTCTCTTGCCTTGTCTTTTTTGCTTCATATCTGTCTCCTGCCCTTTCTCTGATCCTCACCAAAGGAGTTACAGAATATTTTGATACCATTGTGATGGTACCAGCAAAAGTCAAAACAAAAACTGCGTTGACAGGGTGTTTATTCTTTCCATCTGCCCCTCACTGCTCTCTCCAAACTATAGAAATAGTATCTCTGCAGTTTCCAGCTCCATGGAGTCCTGCTCTTGACCATCTTGTCTCAAAATGCTGTGTATTTCAAAATCTCAGTGTTATCCAAGAGGAGAGATACCTGCTCTTGCCCATGTCTGTATACAAATGACTTCTGAAATAGCAGTAACCACAAGTGAAAAAAAAGTTTAGTTTTATTTTTCCTGTTATAAACCATAGGTAGTGAAAGAGTTCTTGTACATAGTCCTCTTCTGAGAAATAGATCTGCTGCTCCACTCATGCCCAGCATGGCCATAATACACTCCAGAAATGTTTACAGTCTTGTCATCCAAAAATGCTGTATTTTTTTTTAAATGTTGTTTAAAATATACTGAAACTTTAACTACTTATTTTGAAAATGTGCGTGCTCTTCTTTGCTGCCACCATCAGCAGTGTTATGATTTTCATACAAACAAAGCCAAATAAAGAGAGATGGCTTGATTATGATTTTGAGAAGAAACCAGAAGAAACTTCACCAGTCAACCCCGTGCCTGTGACAGTCATTATTAAATGAGCGTTGCCCTGTTCTGTACTAGGTTAGCTAGAAAGGTTCAGTATCACACCTGGGTCTTTTCCAGTGTGCTCTATGGAGACAAGAACATGCTGCAGAGAATGTTGTGCTATGATCTAAATCTCCACATCCAAAATAAGCTGCTGCCATAAGAGTTCCTCAACAAACTCTAACCTTAGCAGGGCACAGGTGTAAAACCCTACAAGATGCACCAGCAGTGTCTGTGAGAGCAGTACAAACTGGACTAAAGAATTACTTGTACTTTACAACATAATACTGGAAGAAAACAAACAAGCCATGAAGAAAACCAGTCCAAAATAAACAGTCTACAAAACAATGCCCAAAACTCAGTTGTATAATAAGCCACTTAGCAAGTGCTAGAAGCTTTCTTCCTAATCCATCTGTCACATGTTTTTATAGCTGAAAATAATTAACTGCTCACTCTTGCTCAACAAGTAGCAGTCTATTTGAAAGCACTTAATAACAGAAATGACGGGAGCACCAAGACAAGGTACAGAGAATTTCATCTGGTGTCTGAAAACAGAACGTAATCGTATTAATTTCTGTGTTAGAGAGCCCAGATTCAGTGGCAAGGAAAGAAAAATTCCTGAAATGGGAGTTACTGTTTGGGTAGAGGAGAAATATAGAAGAAATTCAGAAGAAATTTGCTAAAGAATTGCATGGCATTGTTTAATGTTAAGAGAAAAAAGCATTGTTCTGTTACTAATGTGGATTGTAAAGTACATATGTGTTACTTAGCACTAAAACCTGAAAACAGATTATTAAACTTTTGTTGGGATTTATCAGGGTCAAGAACCTAAGAGTAATATATTGTCCCTAACCCTACTTCTCTGTGTCCCTGCAAGACAACATAGCCACTGCTGAATTTCTCCCAGATACCATCCTCCTTTCTTCTGCTACAACATGGTGGATTTGATCTCTTCAGGGCCTTTATAAAAAGCCGCACGGGTCTTAGCTTTGAAGTTCCGTTTCTTGAACTCCTCTGAGATTTCCAGGAAGGATTTTCCCTTTGTCTCAGGAAGGAAAAACCCAACGTAGAGTGCAGTGCAGATGCAGACCACAAGGAATGGGATGTAGCAGAAATGTTCTAGACTTTTCTGAGGAGGAGGAAAAAACCAAGACAGTGTTGGTGACATTCCTCATGATGACAAATAGGCCACTAATCTCTGTTCCTGCATAGACTAACTTCATCCAGGGAGTACTTCTGCGCACCCTGGTGAGGGCCACACATGCCTGGGTGCAACAGCTCCCCAGCATGGTTTAGAGATTTGACATAGCAAGAAGAGTATCTCAAAATGTCTTTCTCTATATGTATATAATTCTATAGAATGGGGACCCATCGTAGGAAATAAGACAGGATTGGATGTTGTTGAGTTCTGCTCACTTTCTCTTCAGGAATCACCTTAGAGAACAGTGCCAGGGTCTGTCCAAGAGGAATTACATCACATCTCTAGCCTCAGCTCTTCTCAGCTGAGGACAGAGGAGGAATATTCGTCATCCATGCCCTAAATGAATCTGCTTCCAGCCTCACATCATGAATCACCACAGGGAACATGGAGGAAGTTTGGTTTAGAGGAGTTCTGAAAACTTTCCTTGTAAACATACTTTTCATGACCATGCTGTGTTGCTGTGTGTCTGCAGCTTGTGATATTCTGGGCTCTGTCTCTTTTCCTGGTCACTATCGGAACCTCTTTCTTTTACAAAACACTAAAGAGCTGCAGGTGATTGCTTTGCCTTGGGAACCCACCACAATGAATGGAAAGGCTGTTCCAACCAGAAATAGGTTGAACCAGAGCAGAGAGCCACAGATCATGTAAGCAGCTGGCCGGGACATTTGATCAAAAACCTCCGTGGGCAGAACTCCTGTTACACCAGCTGGAAAAAGAAATGGCAAGAAAGTTAATAATGCTGTTGACATTATATTAAAAACAAGAGAACAAATACTAACAAGCAAACCCAACATGAAGTATATGAGAAAAGCAAACTATTATTCAGTAAATTATTCTCAGTAGTCAGCAATGCCAGAACAAGTGGTGATAGAGACCAGAGACTCATACTGCAGTGCGGAAGATTTAGGTTAAAGATTAAGGACTGGCTAATTATTCAGACTGTCTCATGTTAGAATCAACTGCCAGAATAGGTTTTGTAATCCACATTATTCTCACAAGGACCCAACTGTGAGAATGGCTTATAATTAATTCAACTGTATGGCACTGTAGGGACTGGGACAAGAAATAACTGCCAACTCATGGGGCATGTGACACTGGCAGCTTGATTCTTTTCTTACCTGCCTTCCTTCAAACTCATGTAAGTGAAGAGAGCCTCACATCTACTCACACACCATGCAAATACCTGAACCCACGCAGCCCGTGTACTACCCCCACAACCACAGAAACTAATGGATTCTACCAAGAAAATGCATATTAGTAGGTTAACAGATAGATGTGGAAATTGTGCTTCCAGGCATCTGCAAGTAAATAATCAGACGACATAGCTGGCAATCTCCAGGGTTAAAGTGAATCATTAGAAATGCTGGTCTACAGCTCTAACAGATTACGCAACACATCAAAACCTCGTTTGTCCATTTAAGACAAGAATCACTGCCTTATTCCTTTGAGTGTGCTGTGACTAGAGAGAGTCTGAGAGTTTCCATAAGCTGCTTTCACACATCTCCAAGTCCCTGCAGCACCCAGAAGTTTCAGTGAAAGCACTGAGGGAACTGACCTGGTCCGATTCCAAAGCTCAGGATATAGGCGAAAATGCAGGCCATGCTGAGATAAGGCATCCAGCTAATCTGAGTCTACAGCCACAGAGACCAACAGAAAACCAACTTGCACTTATTTGCCATCACTAAACACCCCAGTCATATAAAAGGCAAAGCCCAACTCCATTCCAATTAAATAATCAAATTAATTTTGTTACCTGGTGGCTCAGAGCGACCATGAAGACAATGGCCCATCCTGCCATAAAGATATATCCTCCCAGGAGCAGTGGCCTTCGACCAGCGTAGTCTATAATCATATTCTGTACAAAGAAAGACAATGAAACAGAGCAAGATATTTTACCTTGTGTTTCTATTTCCCACCTACTCCCTCTTCCCATTTCAAAACCCTGTGCCTAGTTTGCTCTACAGCTACTTTAAGGATGTTGCCCACTTTTCAGCAAAAAAAAAGAGAAGTCAAAGGAAAGAGTCTACTGGCAGGAATCAGGCAAGAAGTGCATTTAGAGGAGACAAGAATGTCCCAGCTATAGCCTAAACTCTGCCCCTATCCATCCTGACACAAAGCAAGGGGTTTATTTTTAGAGATTTCAGACAGTGGCAACAATGCAGTGTCTGACATAATACTTGTGCATTAACCTGTCTTGACATGAGAGCTGAGAGACTGCCTGGCTGCTGCACATGAAGGGCTTCCTTAACATGAAAAGAAATGTAAATCCAAAATTTGTAATTAACAACCTCCTCACTGTCAACAGAATCTGCGTGTCAGCAGAGTGCATTAAGAGTCTCACACAAGTGACAGACGTGATCAGCTCACAGCTCCCTGTGCCAATCACAACGTATGGGATTTTGTCCTGAGGAATTCCAGCCTCTTGGAACACATAAGCTGCATAAAAATACATCTGGGGAGAGAAGAAAGGAGAAGGTAGTAAGGGCAAATATCTGAAAATACATCCCATTGTTTTTCCTGAAGGACCACACAGAGAATGACTAATGTGCCATCATACAAGTTATTTTGACAGCATTTCCCTGAATCTTGCCGTGATGCACAGAACAAAGCATCTGAGGTTTGAAGATCTCCACAGGCAGAGCAGGCCACTATTCGTTCTTCTCCCGCAG